GCAGAAAGAAAAAGCAACCTACTACGAGAAAAAGATACATGATCGATTTAGTGTGTATCAGGCACATAACTAACTGATATTCACTTACGTGCTAATCCTGTTAGGAAAGATATAAATCAGCTTCTCCCCCCAGCTATGGGTAAATAGCAGGACAGACCCGGTTCTATAGCCTAGGATGGCAACTGGCCTACCGTAGAAAGAAATAGCTACTTACTCCGGTAAAAATCTGCCTCGTCAGTCATGTATCGAAAGATACAGGATCGCCTAAGCGTGTATCACGCATGGGACATAACTGATTGATATTCACTTACGTGCTAAAACCTTTGAGAAAGGCATGAATCCTCTTCTTCTCCCCACCGCCAGCTATGGGTAAATACAAGGACAGATCGGGTTCTATAACTTTGGATGGCAACTGGCTTACCGTAGAAAGAAATAGCAACTTACTCCGGTAAAAATCTGCCTCGTCAGTCATGTATCAAAAGATACATGATCGCGGACACATGGTGGAGTAATGGATAGCGCCTGGGATTGAGGAATCGGAGAGCCGAGTTCGAAATCTACAACATTCATTTACGTGCTAATACCTTTGGGAATGGTATGAAACCGCTTCTTAAGCTATGGCTAAATAGCAGGAGATATTCGGTTCTATTTCCTTGGTCTGTATTCAAAACCGGCATGGAGAGGGTTGGGCTTCGTCAGGTTATCTTGCTCAAGAAAGACCAATTTTACTGTGGCTGCAATTCACATGGTACCCCTACGATCCTACAAGTTTCGGGATAAAAAACAAAATATGCGGATGCAGACGCATATGACGCAGTATTGATAGCAGACACAGAGAAGTAAATACAAGAACTCTTACAGAAAGTAGTTGAGGGAAGTCCGAAGAAAGGACTATTTATCAATTGCAAGAAAACAGAATGCATGCTTGGCAATAAAAGAAAACAGTTCAACATGTAATTTACAAAATGAACATACCAAAATCAAACAAGAAGAACTATTTAAATATCTGGGAATTGTTCAAACATAGGACGGAAATTGCGACAATAATATCCGAAGGTACACTGGGATGGCGAAAACCGTATACCAGAAAGCAAGCAAAGTATTAAGAAACGGGAAAATTTCGTTAGTAACAAAGAAAAAAGTACTAAACTGCTATGTAATGTCAGTCTTTCTACATGACTGTGAATGGTGGAAAATCTCCTCACAGAGGCCATTCATCTGTTGATTCACTTAAATACATTCATTTAGGAATAAAAGTTCTTACTACAATTGGAATGTTTTTAATTTGCTCACGGAGTCGGCCTCATTCCAAATGGTATGATTTACTGGGTTACGGCCTCGAGGAGTAAAGAAGAAAAAATGTGACACACTGACATTCGCATTTATTATATATATATATATATATATATATATATATATATATATATCGCATTTATTATATATATATATATCTCCCGTCGAATTCGACGTATGAGGTTCAAGCAAATCAGTTCCCAAGAAACCGACAGACTGACAACAGCACATGACATTTGATTATAGTGGTGAAGGTTTCGTGCAGGACTATCCACGCTTTTTGAAGGGACGAATACAGAGATCTGGTGCATTACGTGCCACAAAGTCCCCAAACGACCCTCCGCAGGTTTTTGAATTCAGAGTTGTCCTTCTCCCCAGACCAGTTGCCATCCAAGGCTATAGAACCCAGTCTGTTTTGCTATTTACCCTTATCTGGAGGGAGAAGAAGAGGATTCACACCTTTCCCAAGGGTATTAGCACGTAAGTGAATGTAATGGATTCGACTGGGATTCGAACTCGGCTCTGCGATTCCTCAATCCAAGCCGCTATCCATTACTCCATCCATTATTTCAGGTCGGTAAATGTTGTTTAATACTGTTTATTATAAACAGAGCATTTACTTAAATATGTGTATCTATAAAAAGAATGTATAAACATAAAACATGTCTTAAAATAATTGTCGGACTTTGTCCATTTCATAAAGTGTGACGTCATTTGTTTACATTTGATACGCCAAGAGCAGACATGAATGTACGTGAGAGATTCATGGATGATTGTAGTTTAAAAAATGTAAAAAATCGACCTTGCTAACCGAAACGCTCCTCTGTGGCCAAATCGGTAAAAGCACGTCAGGCTACATAACGGTTCCGTATAGGATACAGGTTCGATTCCTGTCGGAGGACGCATATTTTCTACGAAAATTTCTCGGACATTCGGGCGGGTAAATGTTATTAATACTGTTTATTATAAACAGAGCATTTACATAAATATTTGTATCTATACAAAATAATGTATAAACATAAAAATGTCTTAAAATAATTGTCCATTTCATAATCTGTGCCGTTATTTGTTTACATTTGGATACGCAACGAGCAGATATGAATGTGCGTGAGAAAATCATGGAAAATTGTAGTTTAAAAACAGTAAATTCGACCTTGCTAACCGAACTCTCCTCTGTGGCGAAATCGGTAAAAGCACGTCAGGCTAAATGACGGTTCCGTATAGGATACAGGTTCGAATCCTGTCGGGGGACGAATATTTTCTGTGAAAATTTCTCGCGCATTCTGGCCGGTAAATGTTGTTTAATACTGTTTATTATAAACAGAGCATTTACTTAAATATTTGTATCTATAAAAAGAATGTATAAACATAAAAATGTCTTAGTATATATATATATATATATAATAAAAAATAAATATACTAAATATACTAATTCCGGCACTTGGAAATTGCTTCGGCCTGAAACTCGGAGTTGTGCAATTAATGTAAGATATTATGTATATTTCTTAATATATATTAAATAGCAAATATTTGTATCTATAAAAAAATGTTAAACATAAATATATATATATATATATAACTATTTATTTAAAAATATGATTCCAAAACGCTACATAAGAAGTCTCATGTTTCAAAACAAGAGCCGAAAACTTCAATATAATTATTTAAATTAAATTGAGTTAAAATAAGCTCTGTTCCATCTTCAAGCGAATTTTTTTTGAATATATATATATATATATATATATATATATATATATATATATATATATATATATATATATATACTAACCTAAACTCATTATACAGGGAACTAGTGATCTTAAAGAAGTGACAATGGAGTCTTCAACTAGCTAATGGCTTACCATTATCTGGAAGGTATTTCTGGGAGTTATATATGGGAGGTATTTCTGTCGCATCCTGTATTTAGGGGATACACATCCTTGTCTATTTATTACCACATAACCTATCAAACGAGCTTGTGCACAACAGGGTTTAAGAGAAAAAATGACTAAAAGCTTCAAAGAACAGGAAACTGTGGAGAGCCATGATCGCCCACGTCCTGAAAGGTAACGTTACATAGAAGAAGATTTTTGGAGAAGGAGGAGGCTTATCAATATACAAAACTCAATATCTATGAAAATCAGCTTTTCCATCTGTTCGGTTAGACAGACCATCGCTCGTTCTTTCTTTCTTTCTTTCTTTCTTATATAACCCTTTCTTTCTTTTTCTGATAACGATTTTTTCTCTCTTTATCATTTTCTCTCTCTATGTTGATTTCTTTCTTTCTATCTTTTTTCTTTCTTCCTTTTCTTTTTATATCCTTTCCGTTACTTCTTTAATAACACCATCATACTTTCTTTCTTTCTTTCTCATATAACTCTCTCCTTCCTTTTCTTATAACAATTGCTTTATTTATTTCTCCTATTTTATTTCTTTATGCTGGCTTCTTTCTTTATTCCTTTTTCGTTTCTTTTCTTTACTCCTTTCTTCATTTCTTTTATAACACCCCCCATTCTTTCATTCTTTCGTTAGTTTTACATTCTTTTTTCTTTCTTTCTTTCTTTCTTTCTTTCCTTCTCGTATTTTCTTTCTTTCTTTCTTTCTCGTATTTTCTTTCTTTCTTTCTTTCTTTCTTTCTTTCTTTCTTTCTTCTAACCCTTTGATTTTTATATAGAAATAATGTTTAATTTTTAAATCATTC